CAGAATCAGTTCTTTCTTTTGGAAGACAATACTTTAGTCTATGAAACTTTGCAGTCCATTTACATTCACAGAAAGCTTTATTACACACTACATGGGAGCAGTATAAATGCTAAAAAAAAAATGAACTCAAAAATGTATTTTCATTTAAACGAATTTAATTGTGTATGTGTGTGTGTCTACAGATGCCTGTGCCGGCATGTCAGTGTATCTTGGGCAGCAGGAGGAGTGTTCAGCCTTCACTATACAGGACCCTAAAGAGACCTTCCGCACCATTAAAGAGCTCGGAGAAGTACTGGATGATCTGCAGGCTCACCACGACTCAAATGGGGCACAAACCGGTGAACCAGGCACTATGTAAGACACCCAAAATGAATAAAGACATCACGTTTTTATCCAAAAGTGGATCAATTGATAAAATTTTGCATTTTTTAATCATCCTTGAATTATCCCATCTTCTTCAAGAGCCAATTAAACAAAATCTAGTCTTATATGTGTATGTGCAGTAAACTGATTTTAAAAATGTTTCTTTCTTTTTTTTACTTTCTTATATAGCGCGAATCCTATTGTTGGAAAGACAGCGTAACATTGTGACTGCGTGACCAGGTGGTACTGACACAGCCACACAAGCAGAGGGCGCTGTGTTTGACAACATTTAGGAGCATGACTGCGCGCTGATAATGCTCAGAGAAGCGCTGCCGTTCCACACGTGACTCAGTCTAACCTCTCCAGCAATGGCCTGATCTGGAGTCACGGTGTACTTGGAAGAATTTTGGCCAGTCAAGAGTCGAGTCGCGTGTCCGTGAGTTGCTATCATTGGAAAAATCTAGCTCTTTTCTCTGTGTGCCTGTCCGGTCTCAGTCTTATATCAGTTTTTAAGATCGTTTTAGTAACCTCAATCGCCAGTCCGCACAGTAAGAAAGGATTCCGATCACCTCTTATTCATTCCTAAACAGGCTGTGAAAGTCCAGACACCAAGAGTTTGTCTGAGAAATTATAGCTGCTAAAATGAAAGAACTCAACCTTCACATTTTTCTTTGTAAACCACCAGTTTTTTTTTCAGACTACTGGTCGTTAAGTAAAATAACCATGTCAAAGGGAATCTTCATTGTTCTTTATTCTTGTAGTTTCATCCCGCTCAGTCCATCCCTTTGAGTGTGTGCATGGTTTTCTATCTGTAGTGGATAGAATTAATCTGCCTTATAAATTCAGTGGAGGTACTTACAATCCCACACTTGTGTATGAATTAGGGACTAATGCAGAAGCACTTTAGATATTTGGAATATTCCAGATGAGATTGTTTTAGATACGTGGTATCAAACCTTTTTTTCCTGATATTGATCAGTTACATGATCAGCTCTTGTGTAATGTTCTGTAGATAAGGTTCATATCCCGTAGATTTTTACTAGCTATTTTTCTTACGCCAAAGATGTTGTTTTGTAGGTTTTCATGACTTGAAAATGGTATACATGTAGTTTTTTAATTACAGAACTTTAAAAAAGGAAAATGGCTTTCTATATTTCATGGATGTACGTTTTGGGAGCCTCATGCATTTTGATAAACATGAAGAAAATTTTGTTCAATCGACCTTTGTAATCCCCCCCCCCATCACACCATGACAATATTTTATAGTATGATGTCATAAGCTCTGTTCCAAAACCTAGTGTGCTGCCTACAAAGACAGCACAGGCATGCTTAAAAATACAAAAATGTAAGCAGAAAAATTAAATTATAGAATCGCCTTTTTTGCAGAGAATGCAATGCCATAATGCACTGCAACTAACTTGGTGGGGGGGGGGGGAATATTTCAATTTTTGAGCACTTGTAAACTGGAATATTTGTGTGATGTGCAACTTCCAGGGTAAACAGCAAGGAAGCTCACTGGTGTTTTGAACAGAGCTAGAGGCAGATTGTTTGGTATGAATTCTGATCGACAATCTCCTATATCATGTCTAATTTAGAGGTGGAATTGTCATGTCGTTTTCTGATAACTTCCACCCACTGATTATTACAGGTCTACACATTTGTGGTTTTGTTTTAAAATGACCCATTTGTAACTGTAGTGAAGGGTTTTTCTGTGTCTTTTCTGTAACATTGGAAACTGTTATGTTCTGCTTGGTATACTTGTGTTTCGCATCTATCTATTCTTAGTAGCCTAGTTCAGTGGTTCTCAACTGGTAGGTCGAAAAAGGGTCATGGACTTCAGGGGAAATGCGAAGCACTAACCGTATAATAGTGAAGAGCTTAGATGCCAAAATAAATAAGCTTGACTTTTAAACATAAAATCTAATACCCCATGAAATAAAACAAATACAAAAGAATGAACATTTTAACAATTGGTCTGTAAGTTTAAGACGGAGGGGCCGTTTACACGACACCGTATTCAACTAAAAAGGCGTTTAAGGGCCTTAAAACTAAAACTTTTGAAAATGGGATTCTAAGTTTTTGAAAACCATACCGTTATCGTCCTCGCGAATTTGTGAAAACGGTGATGTCGTGTGTTTGCTTGTTACGTGTTCAGTCTGTAGGCTTGTAGTGTTTCTTTACAAAGTGACATCGCCAACTACTGGCCTGGCATTCAAACTTTCGTGGAACTTTGTCTGTATGCGAAAAACACAAAGAAAAAACCTTTCCGTTTTTAGTACATTGTTGTGCAAATGTACCCTGAGAAAGAACATTTCTAAGATCTTCGAAACCCTCTTATCATTTACAATATTCTCACTTCTATGAGCATTACAGATCTCTCCATTATATCTATATGTCACTGTGTACATGATCAGATAACTGGCATAAATGTATTGAATTTGGCCCAGTGCACACGGTACGATTTCGCCCACAATATTACCTTCGGAGACCAATTTGTGAGTTTGTTTATTGTAGGATGTTTATTGTCGTACTGTAGCTTCCCTTGACAAAATAGGATTCTTATATTGGCTTTTGGATTAATGTAGAAAATAAGCTCTGTGACCAACAAAAGTTTATGATTCTTGCACGTTTTGTATATCATAATAATAAATTTCACAAATGAACACAACTTAAATTATTTTTAAAGCCTAAATACAATCGTTAGAAGTACAAAGCTAAACGTAGGCTATAAACCAACTATAGCCTACCACTGTTGAATGACTTCAACGTCACCATCATTAAGCTTCCGACATCTTCTCAGTCTTTATTTAAAAAACATTTTCCCTGAACGTTCGAGTTATAATAGTTTGGAAGAGTGTGATTATAAACGCATTGAGGCTGTAAAAGCGGACTAGACAGTTTAGCTGTTCAGATGATGACGTTTTATGTCCCCGAAAACCTTTGCAGTCCCGTTTAGCCACTTGTTAGCAGCCACCTGTTTCAAGACAAGTAAATGGGGTATTACTGATGTTAATATCTTGAGCTTGTGTTAACCAAAACCCTTATTTCAGGCATGTTACCAAAAACCCATCGATTTCGGGATGATGGAACCGGAAGTGCTAAAATGCTAACGTTTCTGGGTTTTAGCCTACATAAAAACACAAAACAATAAATGCCGTTTTGAAGCTCTTAAATGTGACGTGACAGATCGCTGTTGCTCCCCAGTTTAAGCGGCTGGTTCATGTTTGGAGCAGTGGAGAAGATGAATTGAGGCTCTGTCTGGTCTGGATATGGATACATGATCCTTTAAAAGGGAGGAGAAAATGCTTCCCATATCTTTTGTTGTTGACATCTGTCACTTGATAGAAGCTAGCCAAATCGGGCAGATGCCAGCATGGACGGGTTGAGAAAAAACTCCCAAAAACATTAAATACCGGGTGCAATGAGGACATGGTTTGTGGAAACCACAAAGTTTTGAGCAGGGAATTATTGGCTGTTGAGAGCATGAAACCATTGAAATTTTGTACGATTCACAATTTTGGTACTGCGTTGGGTCATCAATGTAAACTCTGGGTCACGAAGCAAACCAACTTGAGAACCACTGATCTAAATAATCGAACCTCTTAGCGTGGCATCGAATTAAAGTGTACTTAGCATGATCATTGTATGTCCTTTTAAAAAAGACCCCTTAGCTATATGATAGAAGGATATGTAAAAAAAAGAATTATTGGGGAACACAGGAACCAGCATAAAAAGATTTCTGTCATGCCTATTATCTCCATATTAGGGGTTTTAGTTGTCAGAAGAACAATCCATTCTTAAACTCTAGTTTTAACACAATCTCATGGCAATTCGTAACTATTTTACGCTTTGGCAAATTGGTGGTTAATTCGTATGAAGTCATACAAATTCATTTACGCATTACACTTACGCCCCAGTGATGGTTATGTTTAGGGGAGTGGTTAGCTTATTTTTTTTCAAATAATCAAACATTTTTGGGCAGTTCACATCATGCGAATTCATATTTAATCGCCACCTTGTAAAATAGCTATGATTTCCCTTGAGATTGGGTTGGTAAAAACGCAAGTAAAACTACAGGGCATCAGTCTATGTTTGTGAATTTTTAGTGACGTGCCTCTCAAACAGATATATATTTTTGTAATCATGAATTTTGAAAGCTGAAAGATTGTATTGATCATTGATAAAAAAAAGAAGAAAAAAAGCCTGGAACACAGTTTGCCGTTTCAGCACGAACAATTATGCAACATTCACCTTCCGGTTATAGTCTCTATATATATATATATATATATATATATATATATATATATATATATATCTTTGGATTTGGTCCATCATATTTGACAGATTTGTGGGGGTTTTTCTCATGTGTGATGTGTAGATGTTTGTAGCACACTGTGAACTGAATGTTGATGCATTGATTGAATGGTACATGGATATTCATCTGGTACTCTGAGGCTCCAGTGAGCTTGAGTAGAAATGTGGTACCGATCATCCTCACTTCATAACTGTGGTGAGCTAAGAGCCCGCGTGGGCTCGCTTAGCATTGTGGTGATACCGCAGACCTCCTCCTTTCATTATATTTGTCGGATCGAATTTAGTGGTTTCTGTGTATTGCTGTAATTCTCTGAACTGGGCATATTTTCATCTTGTGTAAACATACAGTAACCATTACAACAAGCATCCAGTGGCCCTTAAAGGGATACTCCACTTTTTTGGGAAATAGGCTCATTTTACAACTCCCCCAGAGTTAAACTGTTGAGTTTTACCGTTTTTGAATCCATTCAGCCGATCTCCGGTTCTGGCGGTACCACTTTTAGCATAGCTTAGCATACATCATTGAAGTGGACAAGACCATTAGCATTTCTCAAAAAAAAAATGACCAAAGAGTTTCGATATTTTTCCTATTTAAAACTTGACTCTTCTGTATTTACATTGTGCACTAAGACCGACAGAAAATGTAAAGTTGCGATTTTCTAGGCTGATATGGCTAGGAACTATACTCTCATTCCTGCGTAATAATCAAGAAACTTCACTGCCGTACCATGAGAGCAGCAGGCGTAATGATATGATGCAGCGCCTGAAAATAGTTCCGTTGTGTTGACGGAAGGTGGCCTATTTTCAGGCGCTGCATCATATCATTACGCCTGCTGCTCTCATGGTACGGCAGTGAAGTTTCTTGATTATTACGCAGGAATGTGAGTATAGTTCCTAGCCATATCAGCCTAGAAAATCGCAACTTTACATTTTCCGTCGGTCTTAGTGCACGATGTAACTACAGAAGAGTCAAGTTTTAAATAGGAAAAATATCGAAACTCTTTGGTCATTTGTTTTTTAGAAATGCTAATGGTCTTGTACACTTCAATGATGTATGCTAAGCTATGCTAAAAGTGGTACCGCCAGAACCGGAGATCGGCTGAATGGATTCAAAAACGGTAAAACTAAACAGTTTAACTCTGGGGGAGTTGTAAAATGAGCCTATTTCCCAAAAAAGTGGAGTATCCCTTTAAGACACCCAAGACTAAAGATTATTCTTTAACTTTCCCAATTTAGCACTTATCTTTGAGTCGATGGAACAATGCAGACAATGTCTTTTTTTTTTCTTGAAGTCTCGAATGTATATCGGTACGAATCTACAATCACTATATCATAAGAAAGTTTCAAACGATCATGTGCTCCTGTTATGATGTTTGTTCTCCAATTTCACCTTGTTGGCGTAAATGGGTCTCCAAGTCGCCCTTTTGAAAACCTTGTAGTTTTAATAATGCATTTCTTAAATTATTTTATTTTTAGATCAATAATGTAGGTCAGTAAAACTGCTATAAATATTTGCACAAATTTGACCACTTTTTTTTTTCTTTTTTTTTTTACCCGATTCTTCTTCCAATGTATTACTAATTGTACTGGACATGTTTGCTTCATTTTGTTATTTAAATGTTTTTATACCATTATTTTCACAATACAAGCTCACATAATTCCTCTGTTATTAGTTCTGTGGAATTAATTTGCAATAAATAAATATATTGTTTGTGTGATTTCTGTTGTGTGTGTCACATCAGTGGCTCTGTCTGCACTACAATTTATATTTAAGAACAATTATTTTCACAGTTCAGATCCATACCACGTTGAGCTGTTGTGACTCAATAGCTATTCAATTAAATTTGAATCGGCTGTAACACTGTAGACGGTGAATAGTATTATGTGATAATGTACAGTTGGAGGCATTTTGTTATTTTAATTAATAATGGGTGGGGTTTATTTAATATTTGTAAAACTCCTACCTTGTATTTGTGGTTTCTCATTCAATTTATTTGTGAATTTGTTTAATTTTTGTAAATATGTCTACATGTACACTACCGTTCAAAAGTTTGGGGTCAGTGAGATTTTTATTTTTTGGAGGAAAGAAATCAATACTTTTATTTATCAAGGACAGTAAAGACATTTATAATGTTACAAAAGATTCTATTTCAAACAAATGCTGTTCTTTTGAACTTCCTATTCATCAAAGAATCCAAAAAAAAAAAAAAAAACTGTACAACTGACAGACCAACAACTGTTTCAACATTGATAATAATAATAAATGTTTCTTGAGCATCAAATCCTCATATTATACTGATTTGTGAAGGATCATTTGACACTGAAGACACTGACACTGGTGATGCTGAAAATTCAGCTTTGATCACAGGAATAAATTACACTTTACTATATATTCACACAGAAAACAGCTGATTTACACTGGAATAATATTTAATACTATAACTGATTTTTGTTGTATTTTTAATCAAATAAGCGCAGCCATGGTTAGCAGAAGAGAATTCTTTTAAAAGTATTTAAAATCGTACCGACCCCAAACTTTTGAACGGTAGTGTATTTGTTGATCGTAAGAAATCTAACCGCATACAAAACATATTTGGACACCCCAGTCTTATTAAAAATGTAGAAATATCATTGCATTGGATGGTAAAATATAGATGCTCAAAATGAAAGTATCTTTTCAAAGTGTTGAAAGATAATTAATAATAAAAAACACACACACACACACACAGTTTCTCTGTTTTGTGGTGGCAAACAATTTTCTATTACTGAATAAGAGATAAACCATGTACCAATTGTCTTTTAAAGATTATTTATTCCCTTGCAAGGAAAGGTCAGCAATCATACAGTCATAAGGTATTAATCATACATACATACATACATTCATAAGGTATTAGTAACAGTTCATTGTTCTATCAATGTAGCAGAGAATCATGGGACTCCACATGCAATCCTTGTGCATTTTATTACCTTAATCTAATTACCATCATGTTTCTAAGATTCTATGAATATAAGAAAATGCAAACATATAGAACATTCATTGATAACTAAGATAATAAGAGAGCATTCAAGAGCCCCATCCTGCCGACAGCTGCAAAAAATTGTGGTGGCAAACAACATACGCCACTTCACTTCAGTAATTCCAGTGGTGTCTCTCCTGGAACCTTGCGGTCGGCACCTCTTTCTCAAGTTTACGAGGTAGAGCTGGAACTTCTCAGTCCAGGTGGCCAAACACCTTCCGCTCTCGGGTCCAAGAGGCACATCCAAGGAATCCTGCCGACAACGCCAAATTGTGGTGGCAAACAATTTTCTATTACTGTAGAAAACATAAAAGTTTTAATCTGCCCTCCTCTGAGATTCACCAAAATGCAGAAAACAAACAAAAACAGATAGTGATGGGGGATCCTATTTGATGATATTATAGAAAAGACAAAAGAAAACTATTAAACCACCTTGTTGCAAATAGCATCACAACTGGCCGGCTAATCGTAAAATAGAATGGCTTTAGGTTTGATTTGTGTTTAAAAGGAAGCACATGTGTAACTTGGCACGTTTTAATAAATTGCGACAACTAAGATCAGTATCACAAAACTGTCTTCAGTATCTCACAGCTGAGAAATCTGTAAAATATTAAGTGTGGCAATTGTCTTTACAATGCACATGGTGGTTGCGTGTGGATTTCACTGGACTGAATTGGAGACGTACACAAGCTCCCTTCCAAGCTCCAGATTTCTTCCGATTTCTTGTCCGACATTTTCCCGCGGCATTCAATCTATGGAAACTGTGCTGAGTTTCCTGCTCCTCCTCACATGAACTGTGATTAAGTGTGTATTATCAGAGGCTGGGAAGCACTCCAGTGCAAATGAAAACATACGGAAGAGTTCTGTTTGTACATGCACGTACAAACGTTTTCATCTCAAACATTTGCTGTCAAGGTTAATACAAGTGATATCACTCGTATTCAAACATCGTTGAGGATAAATGGAAAATCTCATTGATTTTAAAACCATACGGTTCCACTTTATTAGTAACAGAATCATTTCAGTAAAGCAATGATGTGGTTTTAAATAAACAAATTCTATAATCACAGTAAATGGACTGCATTTATATAGCGCTTTCACAGACCCAATGACCACCAAAGCACTTTTACAAATTGCCCCACATTCACACACCGACGTCAGCCATGCAAGGCGCCATCCAGCTCGTCGGGAGCAGCTGGGGTTAGGTGTCTTGCTCATGGACACCTCGACACTTGGTCCAGTGGAACCGGGGATTGAACCACTAACCTTCCAGTTTGTAGACAACCTACATGAACCACTGAGCCACTGCCACCCCAGTAAGCTTTTATCTATCACAAAATCACCAGCATGAAAAGTAGCTTGTTTTAATCACATCAGATTTCTGTACCTCACTTAAAATGTTGATTTTGGTCTGTCCCACTGCAGGAATCTTGACCGTATCCCACAAATAAATTCACACATTTGACATAATCTGTAATAGTAATAAATCTTTTTAGAGCATTTTTTTTCTTTTTTGGATAAAATTTATTTCATTCTGAAGGGGCTATATGTAAGAATCTTCATGTATTAATTGCTTTCTTATTGCCAATGTGTCAACAGCTTGTAATGGAATTTTAAAAATGAGGCCTTCCCCGACTTCCTTCGTTGTCAATGAAAGACTGTAGAGTAGGGCTGCAGTTAAGTCCAATTTTTAATGCCCCTCCTGTCATGTGATGTGATATAGTATATTGTTTCAACTCTGTTGCTTTAAATGGGAGTGACGTGAATCACCAGGGGGATGTCTGGGCAAGACGCTGGGGATAAATATATATGTGAACTGTTTGAAGTTGCGGGTTGTTAATAAATGTGGTGATCTAGAAACTGCCTATTTATGGTCATTTTACACCTCCCTCGCTAAATTCCCTCTGCCTCGTTCACTTAGAGTTGCACGAGTGCCCACAACTGGCGGAACACAATGTGTGGAAATGTAACACCCTAACCCCTTATTTACACTGCACTCGCGAGTTTACAATAATACCTGACCAGTAAATTACTTGGTGAACAAAGAAAACGTCTCAGGTTACGACTGTAACCCTGGTTCCCTGAGAGGGAACGAGATGCTGCATCAAGACGCTGTGGGAAAGCCCCTGCATGATTGCGTCGTGACGCACGTGTATAATCAGTTCAATGAAGAGACGAGACGTCATAGGCGGGTGACGTCATCGACCAGGAAACTATAAAGCACACCTGAAAATAGACCGCGCTAGCTTCTGATAGGCCGAAGCAAGTCGATCACAGGCATGCAGGGAGTATGGCAGGGCGACTCAGCGTCTCGTTCCCTCTCAGGGAACCTGAGACGTTCCCTTTCAAGGGAACTCGAGCTGCGTCGAGACGCTGTGGGAACACTATACCCACTACGCCATAATAGCAAATGGCTGTTCTGTGTGAAGTCATTGCGCACACTAAGAAGCAAGCACCCTAGACTCCGGAGTGGAGCCTAGATCCTTACATTTTACATTTTTACATTTAGTCATTTAGCAGACGCTTTTATCCAAAGCGACTTACAACTGAGGACTAAACCAAGCGAGTCATCGTGAAGAGGCAAAAACAACGCAAGAAGTGCTCAAAATACAAAGTTCAGACATTGCTCGGAGTAGCATAAGCCAGATAAGCGAGGATTTAAAGGAAAAGGAAAGAATTATTATTATTTTATTTTTTTTATGTTAAGTGCTCACGGAAGAAATGAGTTTTCAGTTGTCTTTTGAATGCTGTCAGGGATTCTGCATTCCGGATGAGGGTGGGCAGATCATTCCACCAGTATGGTACCGTGAATGAGAATGTTCTGGAGAGTGATTTTGAGGCTCTCTGTGATGGTACCACGAGCCGTCGCTCATTGACTGATCGTAGGCTTCTGGTAGGGATGTAGACTTGTAGTAGTGAGCCAGTGCAGAGAGATGAACAGAGGAGTGACGTGGGCCCTTTTGGGCTCGTTGAAGACCAGACAAGCTGCAGCATTCTGGATCATTTTGTAGAGGTTTAGTTGCACATGATGGAAGTCCAGCCAGAAGAGCATTGCAGTAATCAAGCCTAGAAATGATCAGGGCCTGGACGAGAAGTTGTGTTGCATGCTCAGTTAGGAAAGGCCTGATCTTCCTGATGTTGTGCATAGCAAACCTGCATGATCGAGCTGTCTTTGTAATGTGGTCTGTGAAGGTCAGCTGATCATCAAAGATTACTCTAAGATTTCTGACCGACCTTGATGGGGTGATTGAGGAAGAATCTAGCTGGATAGTGACGTCGTGCTGTAAAGACGGATTGGCAGGGAGGATGAGAAGCTCAGTCTTTGCCAGGTTGAGCTGCAGTTGATGTTTCTTCATCCATGCCGAGATGTCCGCCAGACAGCTTGAGATCCGTACAGCTACTGTGGGATCATCTGGTTGAAATGAGCGGTAGAGCTGGGTGTCATCAGCATAGCAATGGTAAGAGAAACCATGTGCCTGTATGATGGGTTCCAGTGATGTGGTGTAAATGGAGAAGAGGAGCGGTCCAAGAACTGAACCCTGGGGAACCCCTGTGGTCAGTTGATGTGCATTGGATACCTCACCTCTCCATGTGACCCTGAAGGACCTACCTGTGAGATAGGACTCAAACCAGTGGAGAGGAGTATCTGTGATGCCCAGTGATGAGAGGGTGGACAGAAGGATCTGATGGTTCACAGTGTC